CCTTTTTAAGGCCCTACATTGTTCAGTCCCAGAGATATGGGGATCTCAATGAAGCTCCATTTTCAGATTGTTGAATATTTTACCTATTTTTAGGGGTTGAAAACCAGGTGTTGGTCACTTTGTATACAGCTAATACTTACTGTATTTAAAGCAGAATGTCTAAAGAATAAGTAATGTTGAAACTAGGAATGCATCCTGTTTCTTTCTATCAAAACAATTGTAATTGCTAAAGTCTGATTTTTACTAACAGACCTACCAATCTCTGTGTAAAAATAAGATTATGATGCTGCCATCTTTCCGAAGTCATTTTTACCCTCTTGTAATTTGGCTCTGAATCTCAGGTGAAAATGGCCATTTTGACCCCCTCTTAAAAAAAAGTGGATTACTTTAAATAGTAAATACTATTAAATATTCATCCATGACATTTAATATTTTGGCTTTCATCACTATATATGTCTGTTTTTCTTTAGAAAAATATTAGCAAAATCAAAAATTTGAGCCAGGGACCTCTGGTTGAGTTTATTTTTTTAAATGTTTGTTTTTAACAGTGAAAAAAAAAACTACATTACCCATGATTCTGTAATCTCCATCAATCAGATAACTAAAAAAAAAATCTACATCTAATCAACATCTTTAAATCAATACTTTTATATTTCCTCCATCTTTTTTTTTTTATTTGATTCTGATATAGAACCTCAGACACTTTGATCTTCTGAGACGGACAATACACACACAGTGTATTAACATAGACATATGTTTCCACATCTCACTGAGAGAATATCCGGGAAAACGTCTCTCTCACCTATGTATTAGTTCCTTCTCATCCGCTTCCTTCCCCTTCCCCATCCTCCCACCACTTAGCTCACTCAGAATGGTTAATAGTATAATGTTCTACATGAATGCAAGTATTATTTACAGTCATGTTTGGCATCATTCGAACTGTCTCTACGTGTCTGGTACAATGGTCTCAATCTTACAAGTAGACTAAGGTAATACAGATCCTGAGTTTAGAGATAAGTTGATTACTATCGAGGGTGTGTCATTTCATGTGTTGCCTTTCATGTAAATAACTATATGACCCCAAATGGTGTTAACACGTCTAGGCCTTAATCAATGCAAATTCTAATTGTTAGTTTTTGTCTCCATTTGGAGGATGTTTGTCTTGGTCTGAAGTACTTAAGGAAATGTTGCAAGAGGATCAGGCGATTCTGTAGCCTGAAGAGCCCGTAGTGTGGAGCGTGTCCAATCTGTCCATACACTCCAATCTATGTAT